TAGTGGAGAAAAGACCAAACTGCAGGAGACACAGCTGACCCAGAAGCTGGCCACTAGCATGACACATTTTCTATCTCCACTTCCTCGTTCTTCCTGGCCTCACTTTATTCTTAAAGGGCTTCCACACTCTTCTTTATAAGAAATCCTTGCAATTTCTTTCAGCGTCGTTAGAAGGCTTATTTAAAATGACGGCAGACTTGATCTACGTCAGTCCACAGCGGGACCTGTCAGAGGCTTGAGGTGCATAGCACTCTTGCAGGTTTGCTCCCCCAAGAACGACAGCAGAAGACTCGCCTGCAGCTCCCACCTCGCTGACAGAAATCTTACCAATTACATGTGGACTCTGGCTGTGTTCCAGAATTACCTGAGGAGCTTTATTTAAAAACAAAACACTTCTGCCAGCCAGCTAGCGCAGCAGAATAAAGTGCCTGCTTAGGCTGAGACCGTGATTGAGATGGGCGTGGTGGTGCGCACTGTAATCCTAGCGCTTGGGAGGCTGAAAACAGCCTATGAGGATCACCATGAGTCCATGCAGTGAGAATCTATGCAGTGCGACCCTGTAGACCCGATACTAAATACGTACAAAATTTTTTTTAAAAACACTCCAGGAAATAAAAAACATATAGCCTTCGTCTGATCTGATGTCAATTAAATTGATGGGGGGGGGGACCCAGATCTTAATTATTTAGATGTACTAGGCACAAAACCCACCAGGGATGTTCGCCACCCATCAGTCCTCTTTTATTTTTTGTTCTGAGACAGGGTCAGCCTAAGTTGCTCAGGCTGGATTTGACCTTACGATTCTTCTGCCCCACCCTTCTGAGTCGATGGGACTACAGCTGGGCACCAGCATACCTGGGACCCTGGGCCATTAAAACAGCCCTGGGATGATTCTAACTGGGAGCAAAGCACTGAACCCTGACTCCCTGCAGCTCTCTGATGGGCGCTGAGGATGGCACTCGGTGCTCTGCTCCAAGGTGCCAGCGTATAAGAAGGAACTAAGGCTGATGTAGGAAAATGCCTAAGGATATCTTCTTCTTTCAAAAAAATATATATTCAGGGCCAGGGAGATGGCTCAGTGGAATAAGTGCTTCCCTGGCAAGCACAAGGGCCTGAGTTCAATCCCCAGTTCCGCAAAAAAAAAATATATATATATGTATATACATATATTCTATTTTGTACATACATGTTTATACAAAGAAATCCTTAATCAGTTACTGTAAAGGTAAAAACTGGAAATTACCTAGATACAAAGTGACATAATATACATTATTGCGCAGCCACAGGACAGGAGGGCAGGTAATAAAGACTTGCTAGAAACCTGAGTTAGGGCCAGAGGTATAGCTCAGCAGCATGGCACCTGCCTGGCAAACTCAAGGTCCTGACTGTGATTCCAGGTTAAAAAAAAAAAGAGCGTGAACCTGAGATAATACAGTACCATGTGGGAAGATGTTATGACATGAAAATAACCTACATGTTATTATTGTGGGATTTCTTCGAGATACATACTTTTAAAAGACTAGAAAGTTCTTGGCATGGTATCACACACCTGGGATTCTGCACTCAGGAGGCTGAGGCAGGAGGACTGCTGTGAGTTCAAGGTCACCACGGAGTGACCTTGCTGTGTGTTCAAGGTCACAGTGAGTTCAGAACCAGCCAGAACTACACAGCAAGACCCTACCTCAAAAACAAACAAACAAACAAAAGACTAAAAGCAAGCCAGGTGGTGTCTGCCTGTAATTCCCACTCTCAGAAGGCTGGGGCAGGAGAAATGCCGCAAGTTTGAGACCAAGCTTGGGTTACATAGTGAGTTAAAGACCAGCATGCACTACATTGCTGGACTTTGTCTCAACTCAAGCAAACACAGGCAGATAGCCAGGCATGGCAGCACAGGCTTGTAATCCCAGCAGTCTAATAGGCTAAAACAGGAGAATTTCAAGTCTGAGCACAGCCTAGGGAACCTGGTGAGACCCTGTCTGAAAATAAAATTGAAAAGGGGAACTGGGCACATAGCTCAGATCAAAGGCTCTGGGTTCAATCCCCAATAGAGACCAAAAAAAAAGACTGGAAGACAATCGCTGCTCCAGCTGCCCTGGCTCCACCAGGAGGCGCTCAAAGTCACTCTACCCACCCAACCTCCCAGGTACAGGTGGATCAACCAATCAAGAAGTCTGGTGTAGAGCTGCACACTAGCCTCTTGGCATCACTCTCGGAAATTTTGTGTATCAAACAATGTATACAATTGTGGAATATAGTAGATCAAATACAATGTCATTTGGCGGGTTTTGCCTTCTTTTTTTTTTTGAGATAAGATCTTGTTGGTTAAGGGAGGCCTAGACTCACTATGTAGCCCAGACTGGCCTTGAATTCGTGATGATCCTCCTGCCTCAGCCTCACAGGTGATGGATCACAGGTCTCCACCACCACACCTGGCTTCACAGTGCCATTTTAAATGAGCCCTCTCAGAAGCCTTGGCTGCCTGCTACCAGTCCACAAAGCTCTCTG